CATGATAGCGAAGGTGGAGTGCGAGGTGCAGTCGAGACATTGTCAGAAGACGTCTTCAAGCCAGGGAAGTAGCGCTCATCGAAATCAGCTCTGTCAGAGATAACAGTGTGCTTGGTGGTAGGATAGTAGAATTTCCATCCATTGTATCCCTCAGAGTAACCAATGATCTCTCATTTCTCCATATGAGAGCCACAGATGCCTCTTATGTCATTTCGCACATGCACATAGGCATTGCAGCCTCACGCGAAGGTGAGACATGTCAGGCTTGCGTCCATACCACAACTCAAATGGAGTGGCATGGGCCACTGCATCAGTGGGACACCTGTTCCAGACATGCACCAAAGCGGACAGACATTCACCCCAGAAGCTGTTAGGCAATCCAGACTCTGATAACATGGCAGTGATACGCTCAGTCAGAAGTCTGTTTGCTCGCTCTGCCACACCATTCTGCTGAGGACAATTCCTGGTGGTATGCTGTCTGACAATCCCATGGTCATCTGTGAATTGCTCAAATTCCTTGGACATGTACTCTCCCCCTTTGTCATCGCGCAGAGCCTTGATTTTACGCTCCAATTGAGTCTCAGCATAAGCCTTGAATCTCTTGAAAGCATCAAAGACATCTGACTTGGCCTTGAGAGGCACAACAACACGGAATCGACTGTGATTGTCAATGAAGGTGACCCAGTAGCGATAACCAGAGAATGTGGGGGAAGAGACTTGGTGTACATCAGAATGGATGAGGTCCAAAGGATGAGCAGAGCGAGTATCAGATGAGGGGAATGGATTGGCATGCATCTTGCCAGACAAGCACGGTTCACAGACAGGATCAGGAGTAGCCTTGGATTCCAGTGTAAGCCCAGTGACCAGATCTCTCTGTATCAGTCTCTTGACATCAGCATGATGGTGGTGAGCCAATCTGCGATGCCAGAGCATCAAATCAAGTGGTATAGTCGCAGTAAAATGTCCCAATTCAACACAAGCAGCAGTAGATCCATCAAGGAATGCTGCATTGTTGTCATTGATAGTTGCAGTGAACAGGAGAGTGTTGTCATGCATAAAGGACATGGAATGAGATGAAATAGTGACATTGAAACCACCTTGACGAGTTAAATACAAGACTGAGAGGAGATTATTTCGAAGATCTGGTACATGGAGCACTCTAGAGAATTCCACAGCCCTAGCCACTTTGCCATTCATCACAGGATTAAACACCACAGTACCAACACCAGCTGAATAGACAACAGTGTGATCAGCCAGCTTGATTGGCACACAATATGGGGTATAGTGGTGCACCCAATGACGATGAGGTGTCATATGAGAAGTAGTGCCTGTGTCTGCATTCCAATCAATGTCAGCATCAAGTTGGAGAGGGCAATGAGGATCAGAGGGATGAATGGAACGAAGACTTGCATTTCCAGCTGATTCAGTGACCACAGTAGATGAATTGGCATTGTTGGGCGAAGATTTGGGCTGCTGAGAGGTATTCTGAGAGTTGCTGGAGCCTGCCTGAGCCTTATTGCCACACTTGTAGCAATTCTTAGCACCCTCCACTGCCTGTTGGCGACTAGCAATGTATCTGTGACATTTGACTTGGGTATGACCAAGTAAACCACAGAAATCACACTGAACGCGAGTAGAGGTGGTGGATTGGTTGCAATGATGGCAGTTAGGATGGGTGCAGGTGCTATTGGCAGTGGTAGACGAAGAATGCAAGGCAGAATTGACTTCAGCACAACAACAGTGATTGACCTCTTCAGCAAGGAAAGCATCCCTGAGCTGAGTCTTGTCCAAGGTGCCCAGAAGCAGGAGAGACGAAGTGAAGTGGGCATATTGATCAGGAAGCTCCCTAATCGTGACCATGCATGTCAGTTCATCATCCAATTCAGACAATGAGAAGCCAGTAGGACGGAGATTTTGAATCTGATGCATGCCTTCGTCAATTCTGGTCATGAGAGACTGCAGGGACTCGTCCTCCTTCTTTCTGATAGAGAAGAAGTCGTCATAGGCATTAAATCTTGTCCCAGGCTTCTTAGAGACGTGCACAATTGCCAGTTTCTCCCAGATCTTGACAGGATCATCAATGATGCCATCAAGATGGATGTGCTGCTCTTTGGTGACATTGAGGTATAATGCACCAGCAGCCTTTTCAGCTCTCAACTCCCATTTCTCTATTGCTTCAGTGTCAGTCCCAGGACACTTTTCAGCGCCAGAGACGAGCCTCCACAGTCCCTTGGTCATCAACCAAGCTTGCATTTCACCACTCCACTGGGGGTAGTTAGTGCCAGACAAGGGATGGAACTTGGGATCAGAGTCAGACATGATGGGTGTTGTATAAGACAATAGAGCAATGATAAATGATGTAGGAGACGGCTATAGGCGATGGAATAGTGGCAAAGACAATGGGCAACAGTAGGAGGCGAGCAGATAAGATGGTGAGGCGGTAGAGAGAGGATATGGAGAGGGTCAGAAAGCGCAAGGATAGGTCCAAATAGGGTCCAAAAAGCATCCAAAAGCAATCCAGGAGGGTGCTAAGGCTTCCTAGTGCTGCTACAGGGTTACGCCTGTGTTCCCCTTTCAATTCCACACTGATATTAACAGAGAAATTGCCTCGAGACAGTGTTGGTTAATAGGGCTTGTATATGAGTCAACAAAGTGACTTAAGCTCCCCAAACACCGCAGACTGAGAGAGGCTCTAGGCAACAGCAAACTGAGGCAATGCAGGCAAGCTTCACAGTCTATAGGCTTGTTCTATCTGATAATGGACAGAGTAGAGAAGATTGGAGCTTTATGCACACACCAGATATGCCAAAAAGCGAAAAATAGGGCAAAAAGTCGAAATTGATGCAGAGACAGATAAGATGGATGGATTGCCACCAAATCAGAGGTATTATCCTATGGAATATTGGTATGTCAGAGTATATTTTAACACTCCCTCCTGATCTGACATATCCATATATGGTAAGTGTACAAACATAGCCAAACATGTAAGAATGACTAAGCTTATACAATAGCACAATAAAGCACCAGGGCTCATAACCTGATAAAATTGGATAATGACCAGACCAGGGATTGAACCTGGAACCTTCTGGATACATGCCAGCTGCTCTACCAATTGAGCTATATGGCCAAGGTTATACAATGTAGGATCTTAAACATGACATGCAACCACGGACGTCTTACACAGAATAGCTGCTGCATACTGGGCTGGCTTACAAATCAGAGGTATTATCCTATGGAATATTGGTATGTCAGAGTATATTCTAACACCTTCCAGTTGCACATCAAGCACAGCAATGGATAGTGTATCTTCATCTTCTGCTATGACTCGGAAGTGCAAGCCTACACTAGCTTTTTTCTCTCCTTCTTTGGCGCAGCTAGCTATAGAAGCCCATACTCAAATGTGTTTTCATATTGCAATAAATGAAGGATTCCCTGCTTCTAATATACACTCTGATATCTCATGGCAAATAATCACTGAAAGCTCCAAGATTAGCAACAGCTTTGAATCCAAATTAAGGGAGGTTGAAGAAAATGAAGCTTTGAAAATCTTCATGATGGATTATGTGAGTGTATTCTTTCATTGCTGCGATTTGGTTTTAACTCTTGCTTGAATTTTTAGGTATGGTCTGCTGGGCCCCAAATACAGGGAGAGGTTGTAGCAAAAGCCAGACTCATAATCAATGGTGCATATGGTATCCCAGGGAATATGTCTCCTAAAGAAACCAAACTTGCTGTTCAGTGGTTGATTGATACATGCACATTTACTGATGGGGACTTTGATATCAAAGTGAGAACTATTTTTTTTCATTGTATTACAACTTATGGGTATCAGGGAAGAACCTATAACAAGCAAAAACCATTCTCAAACCCTATTTTCAAGGATCTCATAAGGAACCAATGGTTTGGAAGAAAAGGTGAAGGAATTAGGTATGAACATATTTTCAAAGGTATTCCTTTGCCTCTACTTGCACTAGTTGCCTCTGTGTTATGACTTCTTTTTCCTACTCTTGAATATTTACTTACTTATCCATTAGGTTGAGTGTGCTCTTAGAGCCTATAATAGTGGTGGTAAGAGGGTACAAGATTTTTCAGAGGATATGTTCAAAGCTAGGTGAGTTCTAATCACATTTATAACAGTTTTGTCTAATTTTATTAGTAGATGGGGATTCTACTTTGAGAAGCTCTCTACACTTCAGAAGTGTTGCCCTGGTTGGATGACTCAAATGAGGAATAATCTTTACGGAAGCATTTTGTAAGTGATATATATCTACTGCCTATCTTTTAGCTAATTTGAAATATATATACAGACATTCAGCCAATCTTCAATATCTTAATCAAAAACCTCAAGACGAAGATTATGGGATTGACTTTGATGCTTTAGAGGAAACTATGGTAGCATAAATACTCTGTTAGTAGTAAACTCTATTCATAGTCTAGATTGTTTGATTCTTTTAATGATATTGTGCATTTTTGATATTGCTTTTGATATTACGTATTTCTTGCATTACCCTTGAAGTTATAATGGCAATAAATGTCCAAATAATTGATCCAATCTATAGGTACATATGAAACAAGATGAAAGCTATAAGACTTGTATTACAGCTATTTTTTCTATAAAGACTATAAAACATAGGCAAAAGCTATAATTAGTTGGCTTGACTCTAAGAGTAAAAAAGGATCCCCAGCTTCTATAACAGCTATAATTGGTTGGCTTGAGTCTACAAGTAAAAAAAGATTCTCAACATCTATAAAAGGCTATAATAGCTTTTGGTCATCTATAAGAGCCTATATGTGGCTCTATAAATGCCAGAGGTTCTATAACAGGTCTGACAGTTATGACAACTTTATAAGTACCTATAAACAAGTATAGATCTATATTTGCTCTATATAGCTACCCCCATTTTTCCTGATGGAGAGTCACAGAAGAGGCTATATGCTAGCCTTGGATTAAGTAGCAGGCCTTTTTACTTTGAGTGACAGTTATATGAATGTACCAACATCCAAGTCATAGTTGAAGGACTTACTCATGGTCTAACTGGATATCAATTCCTGGACATCCTCTGGGTTTTCATCAACGGCACCAAAACCATTGTTTACTGCCAAAATTTTGACTTGGCTTTCTGTGTTATGCTCTACCTGTGGCATTCCCTGCTGGATAGAACCTATCATCTAAAAACTATCAGAGTATGGTACTCGCCTACCTCAATATCCTACAATGAGAAGACCTTGGAACTATTAACCAATAGTGCATATACATATGTTGTTGTAGCCACCATAGTGTTTGGGCTAGGAATCAATCAAAAAACATCACAGTGGTAGCAAATTTCTGCTTGCCATCTAGTCTGGACAACCTTGAACAGCAGAAGGGCCAAGCAGGAAAAGAAGAGAATATTGATGCTGTCTGTATCATATATGTGGAACCATCAGTTATTGCAAAGGTCAAACATAGTCTGTCCTCCTACGCAGTCCATAATTGTACCAAGGATACTGCCTTGCCTGGCCTAAGAGGGGGGAAAAACAAGTCTATCCAACCAAAGGCCCAAGATTATCAAATAAAACAGCAAGCAAGGTTAATAAATGTGGTGTAGGCATCTTAAAAGAGGATCCACTGGGAGGCGTAGGGCCAAACCTTGTCAGATTTCTCATCGCTCACATAACAGGCACCTGCTTGCAAGTCATGGTGAATGAAATCTACAATAACCCAGGCCCTCTCTCACGACAGGACTGCCTCAAGGCAAAATGCACGCCCTGCTTTTCATGCAATTCCCAGCCTCGACTGCAGCCAATTAGCCACAACACAATGATGGTCACCAATTATCCCGGCCATCTGATAGGAACACTAGCATGAAATGAACCTACCCTGATCACAGGCTTGATAAAGCTTAAGTTATCTGAAATTCATGCTGACCATGCAAGGAAGCATCTTCAAAGCTTTGCCTGCCATCAATGATACAAAAAAAAGGTGTGCAGTGTGAAATGGTGTGCAGTGTGAAATAGTTTCCCACACCGCATATTGGGCTGGGGACTCCCTGGCCAAAGTTCTGGCAAAGCTTTCACTTATCTGAATGCACGAACAGCTTTGGCAGCTTCTCCCTCACTGGAAGTTTATCCATGAAGATGGGGAGGCACTTTTTGATCTGATGAAAACACTCAACCAGCGCTATGATGCTAGTAAAGGCCAAAGATATTCACAACAAAAAAGCTGCAGTGACCCAAGCAGGGAATCAACAAAGCAAAAGTAAGTTTTCATTACTACGCTACACCTTGATTGTTAATATACACATGTTATTTGTAAAATAGGACTTGCCCAAGCCCAAGCTGCCTTAAACAACAAAGAGAATGCACCACCAGCTCTGCTTTCAACCTCACCCGTTGACCACTCTATCTACATCATCATGTTACCTCCACTCCCTCAAGCAAATCTACCTCGGATTTGTCCCTTCCCACAACATTATCATTCCTATAAATGCACTGTTGAATCCTCTGCCTGTCAAGCCAGTCTGTCAAAATACCAGTGTATGGATTTAAATACATAGTAAGTCCTCTAGTTGGGGTTCCCATCTGTAACATGATTGATTATTCCTCTATCCAGGTATATAGGCTTCTTGGGCGCCTGAAGATAACCATTCTGAGCTACAAATTTATCCATTTGGCTCTCACTAGTGTTGCTGTTGTTGGCAGTGTCATCCAATGTATTGCCTAGGGCTACAGTAGGTAACATAGCTACACCATGTAACCTGCAATATCCATATGTATAGTTGTTTGTAAGACAAACCCATCTAATCTTCCATTTTTAGGACAGTATGACCTTTTATGAAGTCATCCTAGGCCACAAAACCAGGATCTCTCCCTGGACACTATTTCATCATTTTTTCAGCCCTCAACCAGTCTATGAGAATGTGGAGTCCATTTTGCAAGTGAGGACTTCCATGGTTTTTGCTTTGACTCTGCAGCAACACTGCTGACTCCATCTCTTCTTTCAGCCGCGGAAAGGAAAGTACATGCATAGAGATAACCCAACAGTAATATGGGTCTTTGAACTGTTTGCCTTTATGGGCCACCATTTCCTTGAGCCAGAAGTTTGAGTATTCTTGCAGTAATTCTGCTTCAACAAAGCAATGAGGCAATCTATGTAAGTTAACTACCCAGTTTTTTTTTATGACATATGTTAATTCTGGACTAAACTCCCGTTTGAAATTACAATAGATCTTCAACAGATACTGGCAATAGTGTGGGTTGCTAGCTCCAGCAAATGTGAAGATCCAAACTTTGAGGATCCCTAAGACTCATCCAGTATCTCCTGTTGCAATAGCATGTTGAGTCTCTCTCCACCATAGGGCATCATGCATGAACAGGATTGCATTGGCAAGTATCACATCCCTTTTGGCATGTACTGATATGTTGCTTTCTGCAAATAATTCTGAAAGCCCGTCAATCTCCTCCGTCTCATTATCCAGTTTGTTATCATGAGCTCCGAGAACCTTTACTTCCACAGCATGTGATTTTCCATTGCCTTCCACTTGGGTCACCATTTAATGGTGCATCATCAGGTGCATAAGCAGGATTTTGTGCTGTATAATATGCCTACATAGTAGCATCACACTAACCCAACTTTCCAGTGGCATCCATCAGATCATCCCAAAGAGGTATTTCATCTCGCTCTCCAAGCCTCTCAAAATGTTCACAAAGATTGGTGCAGTCAAAGTATGTTCTTAATTTTCATTTCAATAAGTGCACCAATGTAGTTGACAAAGAAAAGACTTACTCCAGCAGTTCAGAAGGTATGCATCAAGCAACAGATTAAGAATATGGCGGCCATTGTGGAAGTCTACTTTCTTGAGGTTACTTGGGGGAGGGCACTCAGCTAACATTGTCATGCAGTTCAGTGTTGAATGATCATTTGGGAAGTCTGTCCCTTAATGAGCTTGGAATATCCAGCTGAGGTCTGTCCACTTGGTGTGCCAGAGTCTCAACATTGGTACCACACAACACATTGATTTAAAGTCCCCTGAGTGCATTACCATGTACTTTTTCAGCTTTCCCAACTGGTCAAAAGTTTTCCCATCCCTGCTGAAGTTTATAACTTGGTTGTCCAACATTTTTTCATTGATATTCATCTGTACATTTAAAGAATTATCCACAGCATCCTGCATCCTACTCATATGCATTTCATCAGCGCTGTTTGTAGCCAATGCGATGACATTTGACTACCTGGTAGGGTCAATTTGATGCTTTGTGATTAACTGATACACTGATTTCATTTCTTGTTTATATACTGACAGTGCAGGAATGAACACAATGAGAGTCTGAAGGAAATGGAGTGTTTGTACATTACGCAGGTGAGTGCTGTCAATGTCATCAAGTATTCCATCAACACTGATTTTCTTTCTTTCTTGTTGTTGCTGCGATCAGATTGGCTCACTTAGGTCAATGCCTTGGGATCACAGTTTTTGGGCTCTATGGCTGCACCTGCAGAACTTTTTAGGTCCTTGCAGCCAATTCTATGGTCATGCTTCCTTGCAAATTCCTGGATATTATCCCCAACAATGTGGAAGAAATGCCGAAACCCTGGCTGTGTGGCTTCACAAAGCTCCTCAAGCTTGGCATGTGCCATGGTGGTGTCATATTCATGCCACAGATCAAGTCCGAACTTCTGAATCTTTGGTATACTTGGAATTACGCTCTTCGTGCTCTGCCACTCAGTGTAGCCCTGTACCCCACCCCCACATGGCACTTCAGATATCTGCTCCAATACTCCTGCACCGGACTTCTAGTCTGCTATACGTTTCCTCTACATGTTCTCATATTCCTCATGGACTCTGTAGTTTAGACCTTATGGTACACTCCCCTCACATATGTTTTCCCCTCACTAGATTATTGTCCACATGGAACTCTGTACCCACATTACGAGTTACTCCTTACAGACTCACATCCCTCCAATATAGTATAAGTTGTAGCTCCCGTACTTTATTCCTGCAGTTCAAATATCAACTAGTTCCTACCACCTGTTACAATGCACAAATTTTGGACTTTTAAATTTCATTTCTCCACTTTAACTTTCTTTCATAGTTTTCACACACTGTGCCATGCGGCACTTTCCATTTTGTTCAATCTCCACTTTCTCGCGCTGTGCTGCTTTTCTTTATTCTTAGCTACAAGTCTCTCACGCAGTGGAGCCGGTCACACAGGCTGTGCCCTATAACATCATCAGCCACTGCCTTTATCAACTGTATAGTACACATGTACAAATAGTCTGTAGATGTATATAAACCCCAATAAATTGAGGAGACTCCTTAGCAAGTCCTCCTGTTCTTTACCCACAACAAACTTGGTCCTACCATAAGGGAGATTATCCTCTCCTCCATTCACCACTCTCTACTTATCTTGTTGTGCACCAGAGTATACAAACTTTGGTTGTTACACCACCTTTATTCAAGTCATCTTCTAAGTTTCCCGGTCCTTCTCTGAAGGATCTTTACTACACTCCACCTTTCATCCTCTACTCTCACCCATTCACTCTGTCAAGTTAGGGACCAAGATCCGTGGAAGGGCCTAGCACACAAGCTAAGTCAATTTCCAACCTTGTACTCTGTTCCGCTCCCCACCTCATCTCCACACTCTGAACTCTGCTACTCCAAAGGCCACGGTTCTGACAGGTGGTAGGTGCAGCATATACTATATTATATGCTACTGACCTCCCTAAATGGCTGTCAACATGAAAAAGCAACCGGGAGTGTATAGCAAAAAGATACAAGCCCCAACAAAGTGGCAAGAGATGGGCATATTGCGAGCGAGCAAAAGTTAGTGCTATGATGGCATCAAGGGCTACCTGTTTATGTAGCTTTAATCACAGCACACAACTAATCCACAAAGAAATACAATGTTATGGTGCCACTTCTGGCCTATAATGTAGTCCTGAGAGAGATAGAAGCCAGGATTGCAATAGAAGGGCACAAGTTGCCACATGACAGGTGCATTTATCTCCGTAATTTCCTGTCACCGTTGGAAACTTAAGCCCTTTACTATGTCCCAAGACACCAGAGGAGCATGGTTTCTCAGAGCATTATTGGGCTCAGATCAAGCATGTACTTGAAGACCATGATCACAACCAATCATCTTTGTGGACTCCATCTGAATGAGGCCCACAACATGCTTTAGAGCCCATGCAGTGAGTGCCACCTGCCGTGCTTTATTCTGTTCAGATTCATTGATCTTATGTGCTTTTCATCATCTTCAGGGCTAATACCTGCTCAATAGGGAGTCTGCTGAGCATTTAGATAAATTAGCTTTACCGTTTTGCCTATGGGATGTGATACCAAAGATCCATTCAGGAAAGCTGCCAATATCTGTGAGTGTTTATGTGTTAGTTGTGCCCAATATCCATGCTCATCCTCCAGCTGGAATAAGTGATGAAAGAGCACGGACAACAACCAATCAGCCTTGCAGACCTTGCGCAAGATGCTATTGACCTGTTGGTCAACTGTTTATGCAGGTCAACGAGTAGTGTTTCCATTTTCTGTGGTTAACTTGGGTTGGTTTTGGCTTACTGTCATTTTGATTTTAATGTCCTTAGTCTATCAGTTGTTCTGCTGATCGATCACAAGGTGTAACAAAAGTTTTGACACTCTGGCGCACAATTCAGACAGGCAAGTGTGAGGGAATAGGAGTGGGTAAACCCCTTAGTGGTAGGACCAAGTAAGTTGTGGGTAAACAACAGGAGGACTTGCTGAGGAGTCTTCTTGATCTATTGCATGTAAGGACCATTTTATTATTTTATTATTTTCTCTATGTCTTGGTTCTCGAACACTTTTCCCATTACACCTCTGGCTCTAGGGCTAGAGGTATCATTTGCTATCTTACTTCTCATAGCCCTCACAGGCTTTCTTAACCACCATTACCACTTTATATCACAGATCAGAGACTGGGTATCACTCCCAGCCAGCCAGCACAATGGGTAGGGACTGGTAGTAGGCATCTCGCCAACCAGCTCCAAGCCCCATTAAGGCCTGGATATACTAATAAATGCTTTGATCCGGATCGTACCTCATCATGAGGATACGGTTCCTGAACACATGTGACAAACACCTATTATTAGTACAATTCTCTCACCCGCTAATTAACCAAGTTAAAGTTGTACGATAGTTGTTCCCTTTTTCTTATTGGACGATTTATTCCTCAGACCACTTTTCATCTATTCTCCTTTCGGTCTGAGGAACGGACGGTTAGCTATATAAAGCCTTACCTATTCATGTATAGTTCCTTAGTTTTCTATTACTGAATTTACCCGCTTTACTCCTCAACCGAAACCCTTGAGTTTGCTCCCAAGTCCTCTACTTGCTATATTTACTAGCATCTGTCGACCTCAAGCTCATTGAACCTCTTACTCCCTGCAAGTGCAGTAGGAGACAGGTTTTGTTTTTGTTATAGTTTATTGTTGCCTCACATTGCAGTATTTATACAACTACAGGCTATTTGTACATGTGTACTATACATTTGGTAAAAGCAGTGGCTGATAATGTCATAGGGTGCAGCCCATGTGACCAGCCCCACTGCATGAGAGAGTTGTACTTAAAATAAGAGAAAGCTGTGCAGCACGAGAAAGTGAAAGTTGAACAAAAGGAAAATGCCATAAGACACAAGTGTGAAAAATGAAAAAGAAGGTTACAGGGGAGAATGAAAGTCAAAGGTCTGAAAATTGTGTATTGTAACACAAGGTGGCTTAGATGAACAATAAGGGAAACAATATTAATAATCAGTGCTTTTGCTCATTCCATCAAACATGAGGCCCTTGTCCTGACACCTGCTACTCAAAATAGAGTTTGGGGCAGGGGTTCTGGGCAGGGTACTTGCTGAGCTCGGAATTGGGCAACAAAATGTCAACAATTTGTGTTATTGACACTGATCGGTACCCTCACACACATCACTCTTACTTCAGAGCAGACCTTATTTCCAAGATGTCAATCATCAATATATTGAATTAGGTCAGCAAGGGAGACTAGGATTTCTCCTCCTCTCTTGACACAGTGTGGCTTGGGAGGAGCCTGTGGTTTTACCTACTGTCACTGTGGGGATCAATTTATATGAGCCCAGCTGAAGATATTGGATATCCGTGTTCTGATTGGCTGAAAAAGTTAAAATTTATTATTTTCAGCATATAAGCCCGTGACTTGCGTCACGAGCGAACAAAAATTCGCTGACAGCAGGATTTGAACCTACGCGGGCAAAGCCCAAGTGATATTGATCGTTCAAATCACTCGCCTTAACGACTCGGCCATATCAGCTTGATAAGGTCGGGTCCGAAATGAATATTGACTAGATGCGCTCAATTGTACTTATTCTTATTCGCAAGTTGCGTCCTCTGCCAGGTTACCACTACTAAGAAACCGCACCTCTAGCCATGGACTCCCTTATTCCATTTACAACTTCCGGTTCACTGGTAGATTGTGTGGATAGTACGTATACTGAAAGCTGCACCTATCCGTCAACTTCCGTTTACATATCTCATTTTTTGCTCTTCGTGGGGTTTGCTTTAAACTGATGCTTAATTTAGGGAAAATGTTAGTGATTTTGAGAGACGGGCGCAAACTTCATGGTGTCTTGCGTTCCTACGACCAGTTTGGTGAGCTACCGTAGTCCGGAAAATTATAGCACGTATCACTAAAATTCGTGCTTCTAGCTAATCTAGTTCTGGAGGATACCGTAGAGCGACTGTATCATGAAAACACGTTTGCTGAGAATTGGCATGGTATATTCGTCATTCGTGGCGAGAATGTTGTCCTGCTGGGCGAGATTGTGCACTCGTTTTCAATTTCAGCGAGGCAAATATGCTTATACTTTGTTTTTAGGACCTCGATAAAGAGGATGATATACCGTTAAACCAAGTGCCTTATACTATTTTAGAGTCATACCACCGCAGTAATATCACAAGTAAGAAATACCGGGACGACATCAAAGCTCAAATATTATACGAACAGAAAGGGTTTTGTAAAGAAGGCGGGGAGGGAGATGGGTACTGAATTGAAATTTTAGCCACTCTGCCCCTGATCAGTGTTGGTAAAACCATGTTACACTCTTGTTACCAGCGTTTACCTATGTGATCTTGACAGATGACGGATAAAGCAAATCTTGAATTGTATTCCGAAGTTTCATTTCTTTGTTGGCAAGTTCTAAGAATATACCTTTATTGAGCTCTCTTTCGCAAGATATTTCAGCAGTGCGTAGCTTTTGCCAACTTTAATCGTAGATTTAGCAACGGTCATCAGAAGATTATCAAGCTCGTCTACTAACCCAACATGACGGTCGCACTTGATTCTCCTGGAGCACCACCATTCTGGCCTACTAGTATTTCCCGCAGCATCTGAGTCACATGCACCATCGTCCGCACAGTGTTGCTCTTTACTCGAAATATCTTCATATTCTTCGTCATAACTTTGCAAAGCTTCTTCCCCAAGAGATGCCCATTCTTCTTCTCCAAAGCAGAGTCGTTGATCCCAACCGCACTGATCGAATTTTTCCGCACGTTTCGCGGCCAGGCCGACGAGTTTCTCCCGCCACATTACCACCTCCATATCTCGTTTCGTTATTTCCTTATCTCTGACCACTTGTTTGAGTCTAGAACTAAGTAGTTCTATGCACTTGGCAGTACTCTTCAGTTTTCCATACGCAAGATTCTCCACTGCTGCGGCGCCCTCATGAAGTCGACCGCTAACACCCTCAAAGTGGGCGATAAATCTTACTCTGTCCCATAGTTTGTGACCTCTGCCATCCTTCCCGTCCCATTCCAAGAGGCGCTTTTCCATGTACTTGATGCCACAGTGATCTGAACAATATTTTGAAAATACTCCCCGAGCAGGTTTATGGCATGCGCTTGGAGATGAGGGATCATCGTCATCAAGACCAAAGAGACAACGTTGTTGATAAGTTGTGCCCAAAGGTAGATTGGGGTTTCCTTGAGTAAATTCAAAGATGAATCAGATCGTCTGACATAAAGGAATGAAAAGAGCCTGTACTTCGAATGCAGAGTGGGCATATGAACTGATCAACAAGATCTACTTCGTAGTCTGTCATGCCCACACATGAAGAATGGTACCATTCATCACACCTGTATGAAAGCGTAAATAACAACACAGAAAGAGAATGACGCAGGCGAAGCACCAACCGATCACAGGCAATCATAATTCTATCTTCATCATATCGTGTATTGCATATACAATATAGTTTATTATCTCCATCGTCTTCCGTATCCCTTACAGTTTTTGCGTCACAAGATACCCCACAGCCAATGCTATCCATGGAGTTGTCGGCCACGGACAAATCTTTGGCATTCCATTGTCTCCTCCGGATCGTGGTCCTATATACTAGGTTAGACATCAGTACGGCCTGAGCAGGTTCATCAACAAATGTACGACTGATACAGTAATAAAGTGATGTTTACACCTACGCATGCGTTAGACGAATCCTTTTTTTCGTCATTATCCACTTGATGACAGCAACCGTCTGCTCCATACTCCGGCAAAGACACGTTACGATCAAGCTTCCTACACATAGGTTGGGAAGAAACTGGTGTGACACACGTGGGTGCCGAACGTTTGAAAGAGCCAAAGCACGACATGTGTTCCTCTACTTCAAATTCAACTGAGGTAGGCGCAGCTCTTATACCAATGGCCGGATGATGTCCTATTGACTTGGTATTTCGCGGACCGCAATTTCTGATGTCAGTTGAATCGAGACATCTCGGTGGCAAAGAATACATGCGTTGTTCATCCTGCGTTAGCGCATACGATTCAACCAGTTCCTCCATTGCATGCAAGAAGGGCTTCGGGTGGGACTCCGAAAATAGCTTGCGAAAGCTCAGGGGATGGGTGTCTTGCCCAGATGCAGGACGGCAAGTAGATATCGCTGCGGTCTTGTATGGTAGTGAAGACAATACAGGGAAAATCTCGCCTCTCGACAATCCTGCGCTAAATCGACTTGTTTCTTCTGGTACAGGTCGAGTAAGTGCTTCCAGATTTACGTTTTTGGGGCTAGAGTTGATGGATGAGAATGGAATAACGGATGAAGATGATACAGTGGTGCAATTGAAACCAAAAGTGGACTGGTATTCCATGAAAGAGGGATAAGGGAGTGAATGTATCGAGCCCGCTGGAGATGACTCGACGTCGAGCGGAGCATTGGATGAGCATCCAGGAGCTGTACAAAGGGCGTTCAATTGCTCATCGTTGCTTGAAGAAGGAAGGTTGCTGAATTCGCTGGACGAAGGGTGTACATGGTCTAGAAGAGGCGAGTGAAGGGACGAGTGTGTACTAGTGAGGGAGGGTGGACAGTGTGACCGAGGCTTGAAACGTGATGGATTGTGCTGCTGCGGCGAGCCTCTACCCACATCATCTCGGTCTCTTGATTTCATCTGTTTATCACACAATTGAAAGAGATGATTGGTAGGAGTGTGTTGTCTCTGATCCGGTAATATGGTTGATGCCAGTGCGCCCTCATGGGTGTAACTGGGGCCATCGGAGACGTTCCTACAGAGAGAATATATATGAGTGGAGGCTTAGACTGCTGTATACAAATAACTTACCCCGCAGTTCCATCAACGCTAGCGACGGTGGAATACGAAGTGTCTTCACAAAGGAGCGAAGAAATATCCATTCTACGCGGCATAGTGCCGCATCAGGAAAAGAACATCAGGGTGGATGACCTGTTATACATATTGTGTGATTAGGTAAGCCACTGGAGACTACACCGCGAAAGGTTAAAAGTCCGTTACCTCTGACAGAGGTCGACAGGGACATTTGTACGATGTGTCTCGTCAACATGTGAGCAATATAACTGGAAAAGATAGTAATAACATTCCAGGCCCACAGTCTCATACACGATCGTATCAATGATCACATAATGATTTGAGTAGGATATTCGCAACCACAGGTTGGTGTGACTTGCTGAGGCTGCAACCACGACAATATATTTATTCACGTTGCATCAATGTCTAGACTATATGTATGAGTCCTCTACATCAAGCTGATGGGAATGTAAGAACCAGTGGCATAATCAAATGATCTGTCATACAGTCCGTCTAATACGACTCCCAAACACTCGAGAACGGTCTTGTGAATCATCCAAAAAGGTTATTATGTTCACTAATTCTCATTTCACGCTACACTTCAGCATCATCATAACATTAAAATCTCAATTTGAGAACATACAATAAAAGGGTGCATCAATCAGACCAGAAAATACAGTCAAGCGAAGGAATGTAGAAAGAATGACATTAAAATACTGTACTAGTAGGCTGCACACAACTCGAGGAAATATGAACATAATCACCAGATCAACTGCGCCTGTATCCTTCCCTGCCAACCCATGCTCACTGTGTCGATTGGAGGAACCAATTTCCCTGGCTCAGCGTAAGTCGCCATGTCGATCTGCAGGGTCTCAGTAAAGAAGCTGTATAGAGTCAGACAATTGTACATAAATGTTTTGAAGTAATGGACTTACTCCTTGACATTATCTTCCCACTCTTGGGTTGAACTTGTTCCCTGTTTGCCATGATCACGGATTTCTTTAAGTAGCTGATCCACGTTAAGTCCAGAATTGCTTGTCTTTCCACATAGCGGTGGATTTCTCTGTTGTGGATCCTGCATTGCTTGATCCCTCATCTAAGTCTTGCGTGTTGTCTGGAACCACTCTGTCTACTTGGTATTGTTCATTTTCATCGCAGGTGGGATCCGACATGGGGACATTGTCATTGGTGGTGTTCTGTGTAGATATTATCCTACGGAATTCTACCAGCGCAGCACGCTACCTTGGAATAAGCCTGTAAGAAGAAAAAAACGAGGTAGACACGTAGCAAGAATGCAATTCTGGCCCAATGGGCCAGATTGATCTCCATCAGCCCCGCCAGAATAAGGGCTTTTGTGAGCACCCCGATGTCTTGCTTCTTCTGTATACTTGTCCATAGCTAGACCAAAGCAATATTAGTTTGCGCACTACACAATGTTGTGTACGAGTCACTCACCTTCGGCTTGATGTTACCTCTCGCTGCTGTAAGTAGATCCTTGATTAAGCTTCCTAGCTTGCTTCGTGTTTCAGGGTCTTGAAGGAGTTCTGGTTTGATCTTGAAGACGTCTGGGTTTTTTTCGAGAAATTCCTATATGAGAGGTCAGCTCAACTAAGTACACAGAATGAATGAAAATTTCGTACAAAGACACAATCTCCGTGATCTGTCACATACACTGTGAGGTTTGGAGAAAACAAGCACACTCGAAGATGGTCGTTAAGGAGTTTCTGTGAGTGATCAAGTTAGACAAAGCGTCAAAATGAGGCGAGTCAAGACAAAATCATACCCTAAAGTCAGCAGAGTCCAGCATTTCCATCGCCTTGTCTCATTCTGCGGCTCGACTGATGGCATCCATCGCTAGAAGATGTCCTTTTATGTCAAGTAACATATTGGCAGTGGTGCCGAGCTGTAAAGTGCAAAATTTAAACTAGATTACCAAAGCGGCCGAGCATGTATCTACATACCTCTGCAAATTTATCCAGGCTCCTGGGAGGCAACTTGTATGACTTGCTGACTTCTACACCTAAGGTCTTAAGATGTTTGAGGGTTGTTTGCTGTATGTCTTCCAAAGATTCAGACCGAGGCTGGACGGTACCTGGTTGTGAGCTAAGAGGAGATCTGGGAGGACTTGTTCCATATAATTGTGGCGGGGAGTTCAAGGAAGACGGACCCATATCCGGACTGGCTGATACTGGATCAATCACTTGTTGACGTTTGAACTGCAAAAGTAACGATGAACGGCCAGACATCCCGCAAAGCAATGGGTGAGTCTCATGAGCCCAAGCGAACAGAAAAAGAGTCAGACAAAATAAGTGATTAGTTCAAGCTCCGTGTTTCCACGAGCAAGATCGTGCAAAATCAGCCTCCCCACCCTAACAAACAAAAAAAGAATACTTAACAGGATAAAAATCAATTTTCTCTGCGTGACTGTGTGTTCCAATAAGGATGATGATGGGGGAAAGAAGGTTGAAAGGGATAAAAAGGCTGCGGAGGCAAATCGGAAGGCTGAGAAAACATGTGGTGGGAACAGCGATATAGCTGAGATGTTTCTGCGTGAGATTGTGAGATTGAATGATGAAGATGTGGGGAAAAAGAAGGCTGAGATGACGATTCATAAGGCTGAGAGAACATCTGGGGTGGATAGTGATATGGTGCAGGCAATCCATTGAGCCCGTGCATTGGTGAATGAACCCGTTGGAGGTGGTCGGGTGCAGAGGAAGGGAAAACTGGTATCCTGGAAGGACCAGGCCGGATTGGAGATTGGATCTGTGGAGAGACTGGCGCATGGGCATGTTGAGGAGTATTCGCCCCTGCTGTGGTGCGCCAATTACTGATCGTCTTCTTTTTCCCTCTTCTGAATGGTGTACGGTCAAAAGCGGGCATCCGCACAGCAGGCATTGGCGTCTCATCAAGATTAGTTGTTGTATCTGCACCTGTTGTACCTCCCGCATCTACCAGAGTTTTCTTTTCACGAACCAGTTTTGCAGCGTTCAGTCGAATTTCTTGGACGTTGGTAACCCAAGGTGTTTTGGTACAAAGACTTGACGGAACAACCGAGGCTATAAGGTGAAGAGCATATACATTGAGAATATATTTGTTGGTTTGTTTGTGCGCGACTGTCTTGGTGAGTTTAGTTGTCTCACTATATTCTTGTCGTACTGGTACAGTTTTGAATTCACTACAGTTTGACGTGCAGCAGTTGTGTAGCACATTAACGGAACATAGAAATTTCTAGTATGTTGTCAGTAACACACCAGGTAAAGGACTTAATTATATACCTCTGCGGGAAGCACATCTTGCGACTCTGTAATTTGCAAGCAAGGAACTTGAAGGTTGGCATGGAGCGCTGGCAAGAAATCCATGTAAGTAAAAGCAACATGAGCAGCAAATTGACGGTTTGCTTCAGTGACGAGAATCTCTTCTATTTTTCCAATTTGCAGGGGGGTCCCGGTGGACAACGAGGAGACAACCACATAGCTGCCAACTTTAGCCTCATCACCATTGCGTGTGGTGAAAGCCAAAGCTTTCAGAAACATTGACTGATCACCAGGAGAGTTCCGTCTAGACTTGATGTAGATCTTGGATGAACACGTTGACTTCCAAGGCACAGGGTCTGATGATTTGCATCTTGTAGCGCTGGTGAATCTTGTTGAGCTGCCCAGCTTCTTGGTGTCGGGACAAAGGCCCAATAATCAACATTGCTCTGGGTGATTAGCAATATATTGTTGTATGGCAGGACCCGCACACATCCAATTACCGCTGGCGGAGTCACGCCAGTAGCCCCCTGTGGCAATATGCTTGATAGTATCCTGGGAAGCAAATGACTGGCAAATATCCCGGCTTGGAGCCTTGCGATTGCTGTATACCGATGACAGACAGAAAACATGGTTGAAGGACTCATACCGCTCTGTTGAGAACAATAGCACTGGTCCAAATCTACAAATAAATGCAGGTAAGTGAAGTAAGAAATGAAACTTTGGGTTTGAAATCAGTATGCTTGGGGCACATTTTGCACTGAAATTGAGGAAGTCTTCAATTGTATGCAAGATTTGAGCCTGTGTATTTATATCAAGTCCTGCCAAATACAAGTGATTCAGCACTCACCAAATACTCCTCCAGGTTGTCTATTCCCGTGTGCCATAGAAGCACCACTAAATCTCCAATGACACTCCAAGCATGCAGAACATCTTGCGGTACCAGGTCATATATTAGATAGGGCATTACCCGTGCAAGGCTTTTGAAATGTTTGCCGATGAGGCCACCCTTATACCGACAGATGTATTCTGCTCCTAGTTGGGGGGAGTTAAGGCCATCCTTGCTGAGGGATTCAAGGCGCGCCTGGAAGATAGTTAGTAGGTGGGCTTTATCGAGGAGCCAGACAGTTTGTCCCCAAAAATACTTTACTACACCCAATAAAACAGTGTGTAGGATCTTACTAGGCGTATCTTGATGGACATCAACACCTGGCATCTCTAATAAAGGATTGATGTGGTCATCGAGGGTTGCACCTTGCAGCACTGTCTCAAGCTCCTATTCTAGCCGCTGGCGGACTTCAGCCTCTGGTAAAGCAGGCTTCCCTTCTTCACGCTTGCAAAGTTGCTTGCCCAACTCAAGCAGATGCCGGATAATTAAATCATTTGCTGTGTCGCGTATTCCAGAGTTTGTAGTGGCCATTTTAACCTTCTTGGTCCCTCCAGGCTCAAGAGAAGTATTTATTTGGTGCTTGATTGCCTTGCAGGTCTCCTAAGGGGTTTGAGGTTCGCCACACTACAAATGATGAGAACTTTTTGACCCAGTTAAGATAGAAAGAAACAAGACTTACTTTGAAAACTTTTTGGTAACCTTCATCGGTTTTTTTGTGCGCTTGAGTTCCACCGACCTTGCATGTTCTGCAAAAGAAATTACTTTGAAGCCCAGAATGACTGCATTCCTCAGCGTGCATGGGGTTGTCTCCTGCAACAAATAAGAGATAAGGTTGTAGCATAACTTCCTGCTCGTACTTGCAATCCCAAGTAAGTACACCGGATGATGAAGCTTCGCTATTGGATTGGCATGAGAAGAAAATTGTAAGAAATATGGCAAAAATATTAACGTGATGGAGTCTTTGACCCCCTTCATTAACTCCATGGGCACAGCATGTGCGATGAGGAGACAAACTGGACACAGAACTCTTTTCCAGCATCTCCCGAGGCATTGAGGCATTGGATATATAAACTACATGATGCTTGTTCCATTGCTTGGATACATTACCTGAGACGTCATCCATGAAAACAATTAGTGGGACTGTGAGCACCAAACATCCGCCCAATTATTCACGCAGAGGGTTGGGCATCTGATTGGCGAAGTGTCTAGACGAGTCTATTGTGTATTGTATAGTAAGAGGAACAAGCTCAGTAAAGCCACAAAACTCTGGCTCGTTGGCGTGAATATCTTCATATGTGCGCTTGAACGTAGATGTTGAAGCAATTACACACTCCAGATCTACAATAAAACCAGCCTGCATAATGAAAAGATCAGTGCGTGAGGGTGTGATTACTTTGCAAATAAAGCTTACCTCTGAACGAGCAACTGGGTACCCAAGCGACAGAATCTCCACATCGTCTGACTGGTCTCTGGATTGAAAGAACTGCTTGGGGATAAAGTAAGCGCCACTGGATTGCTGCAGGAGTTCATTGATGAAGAAGATTTTGCTATTTGCGAAAACAGAGGGCACCGCAAGGGACAGATGGGGGTCTAATAGCATTTTGGAGCCATGGTGCACCTAAGACATACTGCCCTCTCCATCTTTGGGGTAATCTTGCATAGAAAACTGTGTAATCGGGTTCGAATAGTCCTAAAACAGAGTGCATTGAGTACTTGAAATAATGAATCAATGTCCATACCTTTGCGATTGCTTTGCCGATTGAGTTCTGATAAAAAATATATCCCGATTTTGTGGCTACCTTCTCAGTCGGGTTTCCTACAAGATGGCGTATGGTTTCTTGACATTTCTTCAACACGTGGAGGGTTGGAACATTTTTAGCCAATAACTCGTTAGCCCAGGACAGGATTGCTTTTTGTTGAGCTTGAGAGAATTGGAGGCGAGGGGAGCTAAATAGTAGATCAGTGGTAAACATCTAACAAAATAGAATTAGACTAGTGTACTCATGTGATGATGAGAAACTTACCGCCAGTGAGGGCCATGGATAACTGGGATCACCAGTGCGAGCTTCTGTCTGCAAGGCTCCAAAATCGTAATCTTCAGGATCTACTGTCAATGAAGAAAAAATAGACTGACTGGTGTTGCGAAATGAGATACATTATTTGGGGAGAAAGGTGAGTCATGAGATGTCTTGACAGTGTATTATTGGGAGGGGTAACATTGTCTAGAATAAAAACATACATGGAATATCAATGCCAAAGTTGTCGACATCATACTTAATTCCTATTTCTTCAGTTGCAGGACGCAATGGGCAAAAGAAAAGGCTTTTGCCTTTGTTTATGGCTCCACATAATTCATTGTAGATATCTGTCAGAGGTTGAAGCTTGTAAGTTTGCGTGCCCAAAAATGATGTCCATAGGTCTTGCAGTGGGACTGGGATATCAGATAGTTCATCTTGGGGCATATCAATTAACTCGGATGAATGGTCATCGTACAGGGGAAGATAATCGGAGCGAGGAGAGGCTGGAACAGGAGGTGAAAGGTTTCGCTGTGGATGAGCTGGTGACAAACAGGATGGTGGAAGAGACGGAGGTGGTGGGAGAAACTGAAGGCCCTCCAAATGCCTGGAAACGTGGCGTGTATGCTTTTGGGAGGTATTGTGGCCAATAACATGGCATCACCACATTGATAAGAGAACCCCATTCTGTTTGGGGCAGACAAGGCATGCAACACACCTACTGCCGTCCAACGATCTGTACACTAAAAAGGTACAGTCATTCAGCAAATCCACATAACAATATGGCCGGACAGACCTCAGGAGTCCAATTGGTGATTTGCGATATTGCTTTTGGCATGTTCAGCCTTGCACGTTCAAGTTGTTGATATGGTGTTTTTAGAATGCAGTCTGTAGCACAGCCACTGGCTCTTGACTGCCCGAACTCATCCAATGATTCGCTGATAAGTTCCCACACAGTGACTCTCACTTCACCCTCTCCCAACTTCATCATGGCAATAACCGTGTCCACTGTTTTGTATCCACAGGTGACTGACAGAGATTGGGGCTCGAGGAATGGATTGCGGCCTTTGAACACCACAATTTCTTTCAAAGGCTCAGTGCCAGCTACCAGGATTAGGTTGATGGATGTGGTGATTTTTTTTCTTCTTGTTTGTTGATTAGGACTCACTCATCTATGCTCTCTAGCCGTTGAAGGTCTCAATCACACTGCCGCAGGAATGTGCTGGAATAACCCCAGTGGTGAACTTAGGGCCTCTAGACTTTATGTATTGTGGCAGAAGTTTACTGTCAGTGCTCTGCTCACGTCAAGAGGTACATCTTTCCTTTATTTTCTGTTTTTACACAACTGATGTACTACAGGAAATGCAAAAGCTGAAGATTCCCTTGCCTTTCTTACCCCTTCACCCGAGCTTCAATCCCTACAATACGCAGTCGTGGGTCAGGCTAATGAATAGTGTGCAGCGTTGGCTGCTCACTGAAGTCGTCAACAGGCAATCTCTGGAATGGGTGTGGGGTTGTGAGGCTTTTTGGATGGCTTATGTGGCGGCTTATCCCGAGTTTCCTTACGGCAAATGGACTCATTGGAGCCCAAAGATTTCCCCCAAAGGCTGTTTTTTGCAGGATTGGTTAGCCAAGAGGGATGCGGTAGTTTTGGGTGAGGATACCTTGGTATTTGGTGACAATGCAGACTACATATCTGCAAGGTGTGCAATCTGGGGGAGATTGCAAGAACTGATTTCTTTGGTTTACGATAGGAGTATTGTTGCTACCAGTACCTAGTTGATTGTTCTCATGTACTCTTTATACCATCATGCATTTGGTTGTTGCTTTCGCTGTTCCAAAAAATATAATGTGTTCATGATTGTTATTATATATGTGCTTTGAACATGAAGCTCTGAAGACTGTTTTACAATAGAACCCTGATTTCAGAGTACATCCTAAGGTCTACTAATGGCCTAGATTGCTAGTGAAAAAACATCTACAACAATCATTTTTGAGGTACTACAGGCTCGACACTGACAGAACCATGGTTGTAAATATCACGTGAGCACTCAATTGAGGACTCCAATACCTCCCAAATCCCTCTGGCAGACCTTTGGGCTATTGCTACCATAATAAACAGTATGACATGATGTCATTGACCCTTCACTCTGTTCTTTGGTAGACCCCGGAGTAAGGTTCCAACCGGCCCCATTGACGATATATGACTAAGGTCTTTTGTCAATCGTGAGTAAAGCGTTATCCAAAATTAGCGGTGTAACTATTGCTAGACATCTTAGCATAAAAAACATCATGCACTCAGAATTAAAGCAGAATAAGCGGGGAGTAAAGTCTAAATTAGATTCATAAGGCTAATTTTCAGAGTCTGCTCACCACCACAACAAAGCCATGAGGCGCCACATAAGCCATGAACACAAAGCCATCACCTTGGAACCATCTGAGAGACACAACCCCAATAATCCCACCATTGCTTGATAACTAGGGATCAGCTTACCAAGTCAAGCGCACTTGCCAGATCTATCACCAGACAGAAACACTGGAACAAAGACTAGTTGCCAGAGGTCAACCTTAAAAACTCATTCTTTGCCTTATTTGTGACTTTTTCCATTTCCACCTTGAAGTCATGCTCATTATTGATAGATATACAATGGATTTCCAGTATCCCCGGACACCTTGAACACAAGCTAGTCCTCCTCATCATGTCTCTTGATCAGCTTTGTGACCTCACCATAAAATTTATCCCACTCTATATTGGTCACAGCACTGAACTCTCTCTTGGCTTCACCATCAACAACCTCGGTCGTAAACACAAAAGCTGTTACAACCAAAGTTTTGATACTCTGGCACACAACTTCAGACAAATATGAGTGGATAAGGAGTCTCCTGGATCTATTGGGGTACTTATACTACTACAGATTGTTTGTACATGTTGTACTATACAGTTGATAAGGCAGTGGCTGATGATGTCATAGGGCACAGCCCGTATGACTAGCTCCACTGTGTGAGAGACTTGTATCTAAAAATAAGGAATGCAGCGCAGCGCAAGAAAGTGAAAGTGGAGTTTGAACAAAAGGAAAGTGCCGCATGGCACAATTGTGTGAAATCTGAAAAAGAAGGTTGAAGCGGAGAGTGAAAGTTAAAGGTCCACAAATTATGTATTGTAACAAAAGCTACACTAGGTGAGTAAAATAAAATATCATGTTGAGGAAAATGTGCTTACCAGCAGGGTGAGGCTCTGCATTAGGATGATGGGCCCTTGTAGGCTCAGCTAGTAGGGATGGGTGGCTCCTCAACCAATACCGCATATTCATCAGGAAGCTATATAGGCTCTTATAGTACTATAGTTACACAAATAGTTGTCATAGTGGTCATAGCTGTAATGGAAACCCCAACATCTATTCAGGAACAATGTGCGTTTATAGTACCTTTGTAGTTGAGTATAGTGTTAGAAAATGTGAGTTTAAGAAGACAAACAATATACAAAGGGAAAGTATGGTGCAGGGCACCATACTAGGAAGGTGTAGTGTTTAGTTAGCCCATGTGCATTGATGGGCAATATTCTCTCCTTAGTTATACTTCCTTTTATTTTTATAAACCCTTGTAGCAATGACTCTTCACCTCAGAGCTTCGGCCACAAACTCTGAGGTGAGGACTTTATACCTTTTTGTGTTCTTTATAATATACTCACTTTGTACCTAGCATTTTGGTTTATATTAGATCTCTTTGAGGTTATGAGCCCTGCGAGTGAAACAATGTAACCAGAAAAAGATACCTTTGGGGTGCCAAAGCTCGAGCTGGATGGCTTGAACTGGTCATTGTACAAAATTTGTCTCAAATGGGCCCTTGCTGACTGAGACTGCATTGAGCTCCTCCATGGCACAGCAAAAAAGGAGACTTGCGCACACATTTGGACAAGATTTGCGTGTTATGGGAACAGCTCAGCACAGCAGGAGTTGAACTAGCAGACAAAAAAAGAATTCACGACCAGCATCATCATGTCTTTGCCACACTGATACACCACCTACGTGTTGCACCTGTCAGCATCTGTCCATATGTCAAAGCAGACCTTGGACCCAGAGACACTGATCTCATACCTTCTTCAAGAATATAACTGCCAGATTATATTCAAAAAATGCCCAACAGCAAAATCTGAAGATATTTCCATGTCAGCCACCAGAGGGCAAGGATTGTCCAAATGTGGAAACTGAGGTGGAAGAGGTCATTACAAGAAGGGAAAATTGTCTGGCGGCAAAAACAACAAAGATGCCTTGAATGCTGGAACTGTGGTGGAAAGGGACATAGGTCACACCAGTGCCCCAGTGAGACCTGTGAGCACTCCACAAATAACAAGTCAAAGGGTGACTCACCAGGAGATAAAAAGCAAGAGGGGCAGGCGGGCAAAATAAAAGGGAAGAATCCTGAAAAGGCAAACCTTGCTATCCACATTGAGCATGACAGCACAAGCCTGTCTGATTTTGAGGAAGAAAGTACATGGAGTACCCTCACTCATCAACTAGTTATAAGCACCAGACCTGAGGGCCCCATAGAAATTTATGACTGAGGTGCTACGAGTCACTTTACCCTTCATCAACACCCCCTGCTCAATTACCGCACAATTGCACCTTACCCCATAAGTGTGGTGAACCAGGACTCCTTATGTGCTGTGGGAACAGGGGATATGGTTATTAGTGTCCCCAAGCACCCATAAAGTCATGCAAGTGCACCTGAAAGACGTGTTATATGCACCAAATTTGGCCTACACCCTGATTTCAATCGGCAGTATGGATAAGGCAGGCTACAAAGCTATCTGTGAAAAAGGTGAATGCATCATCTATGACCTGAAAGGAAGGATTAGAGAGTGCATACCTAAAGTGGGTGGTGTGTACCAGTTGCGAGGCACAAGTCTCTGCCACAAAAGTGCCAATGCAGTTGTTGAGCGCATCTCTGCCACCAAACTTCACAAGCGCCTTTGCCATATAGCTATTGATGTAGCAAAGCACATGACATTGAAGCACTTGATCCATGGGGTTGAATTCCTGGAGAATAGGGAAACAGATAGCCTTTGTGAAATTTGTGTTCGTGCAAAGGGCAAACACAAGACAATTCCTAAAGTAAAACTGGGTGAGCGTGCACAGGAATATGGCCAGGAGATCCACACTGATCTATGGGGACCTGCATCAGTTGGGACACTGGGTGGAAAACATTACTATGTCACCTTCATGGATGATAAGACATGTGAAACCCATATATACCTCTTGTATGACAAATCCAACACTTTTGGCCAATTCCATATGTACAAGGCTTGGATTTGAAACCACATAAATGCGGCAATCAAGACCTTGCACAGCAATAGAGGGGGGGGATATCTCAGCAACGAGTTTGATGAGTACCTTTGGGACAGAGTAATCATCAGGAAGCACTTACTGTATATGATACCCCCAAACAAAATGGTGTCGCAAAGTGCGTGAACCGCACCCTACTCAAAAAAGTTGGTGCCCTCCTGCTTGGCAGTAGCCTGCCAAAGTTATTCCTGTGGGAAGAAGCGGTTAAACATGCATGCTGGTTAAAAAACTGTGCTTCCACCAAAGTCTTAGACAATATAATGCCTTTTAAGGCAGCCTATGGTGCTAAACCAGACCTCACTTCCCTGCGCAAATGGAGCAGCAAGGTGTTAGTCTATAATGCTACAAGCTCAAAGCTTAAGAGCCACACCAAAGTTGGTCTTTGGGTCAGTTTTGACACCAAAAGCCTTGGACACCAAACCTATTGGCCTGGTAAACACTCTATGAGCGTAGAATAATTAGTCACCTTCACAAAGGAGCTATACTCACCTAGAGATGTGTCTTCTGATCTTGAGGGGGAGAATAATGAAATATCTATGCAAGAGAGTGAAGAAGCATCAGACATTCACATGGGCGTTGAAGGAAATATACCTGATACGAACCTGGAACCTGATGAACAGGCCAGACCAGCCCAAAATGCAGAGCCCCCACAAGACCCTGCTCCTGCCCCACCAGCTGAACCTCAAGTGCATCAAAGCACACACATCCACCAACCGGCCCAATATATTCGCAACCTGTTAAGAAGAGAAGGATCAGTGTTTGGATCAAATGATAGAGCCTTACTTAAGGGCTTCCAGATACCAGCAGTGGGCAGTGAAGCTGATAGAGAAGTTACGGAGGACAATGACTTGAGGGAACTGGCAGCAAATGTTGCTATGACAGTAGTGATGGCAGATCTTGAAGGTGTCGAACCTAGAACAGTTGAAGAAGCCCAAAAGCACCCAGATAGGCCAAAATGGGAAGAGGCAATCAATGAGGAATTGAACAGGCTTTGAGTGGCAGTTACATTGAGAGACCCAAAGATGTGAACATTGTAAGGAGTAAATAGGTGTTTAAGCTAAAGAAAACAGCGTCAGGATCCATCAATAAGTACAAGGCAAGACTTGTAGCACAAGGCAAGACTTGTAGCACAAGGCTACAGCCGGGTAGAAGGAGTTGACTATTTTGATATGTTTTCCCCATTGCAAAAATGGTGCCGCTATGAATCATCTTAGCAATGGCCACTTGAAATGATTGGGAGACACACCAGATGGATGTTAAAAGTGCATATATCTAAATGGTGAACTGGAAGATGACAAGGTCATCTATATGCAACAACCACCCGGTTATAACACACCTGGAAAAAAGACCCAAGTCCTACTCCTAAACAAGACACTCTATGGCCTGAATCAGGCCAGCTGTAGATGGTATCAGACTCTATGCAACGGACTCCAGAGAATTAGCTTGATTTGCTGCAAAACAAATTATGCAGTATTCCATAGGCATGACAAAGAAAAAAGCACCATCACAGCAGTTCATGTAGATGACATGACACTTGTCACACCAATTATGACTGAGATGAAACACTTAAAAATTGACCGAGGACAACTCTTTGAAGTTAGCGACCTGTGGGAGCTTCATTGGATGCTAGGAATAGAAGTAAAAAAAGACAGAAGCACACGCACCCTATACATGTTGCAATGCAGCTACCTTGACACTATTGTCAAACACTTAAATGTAGAAGATTCAAAAATGTTAGCAATTCCAATAGTTGCGAGCACTTACCTGAGTAAAGACCAGAGCCCCAAAATACCCAGGAACTATGCAAAAATGCACAATGTCCCATATCAAGAGGCAGTGGGATCATTGATGTATGCAGCAATTGGCACACATCCAGACACTGCACATGTAACAACCAAGAGTTTTTATACTCTGGTGCACAACTCAGACAAAGCTATAAAGAAGTGAGGGGAGTGGTTACCCTTTAGATAGGACTGAGTTTGTTGTGGGTAAACAACAGGAGGACTTGCTGAGGAGTCTCCTTGATCTAATGGGGTATATATATTACTACAGGTTGTTTGTGTAGAAATTATATTATGTAAGCGAACTTCGGAGCTTCGCTTGAAGATTTACTCTGTGATTATAACCAGCTTTTTGTGGCCACCATTGTTCTTTCACATAATATTTACATCTGTTTGTTATATAAGAAGCATGTATTTACATTGTTACAGCATTTGTTTGCCAAAGGAATCCTTCTCCCACGCCTTTTCCCGCGCCCTGAGGGACCCAATATCCAACAGTTTGTACATATGTACTGTACGGTTGATGGAGGCAGTGGCTGAAGATGTCATGGGGCACAGCCCATGTGACCAGCTCCACTGCGTGAGAAACTTGTATCTAAAAGTAGAAAAGGCAGTGCAGTGCAAGAAAGTGGAGTTTAAACAGAATAAAAAGTGCCGCATGGCACAGTGTGTGAAACCTACAGAAGAAAGCTAAAGAGGAGAATGAAATTTAAAGGTCCAAAAATTGTGTATTGTAACAGCACATGTTGTTGCAATCCTTTCTTGTTTTGTCAAGAATCCAGGTATGGCCCATTGGGAAGCAGCAAAAAAGGGTGATACCATACCTAAAAGGGAGCAGAGAGCTATGGTTAGCATATAGTCCGGAAGAACAGCCACTTACTGGATACACCAATGCAGATGGTAGTATGAACAAGACCAGGCAAGCCATGATGCTTGATGGTGGCTGTTACGGTAACACATTTTCGGGCCTTTCCTTCTATTTTCATTCTCCGCTTTAACCTTTTACTGTAGTTTTCTCACATGGTGCCATGCAGCACTTTCCTTTTGTTCAAACTCCTCTTTCTCGCGCTGCTCTGCCTTTCTTCTTATTTTGGCTACAAATCTCTCACACAGTGGAGCTGGTCACACAGGCTGCGCCCTCTGACATCATCAGCCACTGCTTTATCAACTGTATAGTACAACATGTACAAACAACCTGTAGTAGTATAAATACCTCAATAGATCCAGGAGACTCCTCAGCGAGTCCTCCTGTTGTTTACCCACAACTAACTTGGTCCTATCCTAAGGGTAATCACTCCCCTCACTACCTTTATAGTTGGTTCTAGTTGTGTGCCAGAGTATACAAACTCTAGGTTGTTACAGTGGCACCGTCTTGTGGTACTTGAAGCAACAAGAAATTGTTGCATTATCAACAACAGAGGCTAAATATGTGGCCGCAACACATGCCACTAAGGAACTATCATGGGCAAGGATGCTCATCAGTGAAGTAAACAATCAAGGTTTACCACCAATAATCCTCCTGTGCAATAATCAATCTGTGATAGCCCTCTTGAAGGACTGTTAATACCATGTGCAAACCAACCATATGTGGTATCATTTTATTTAGCATGCCATTGAAGAAGGAAATATTGAGATTAGCCATTGTCTGACTGAAGAGATGACAGCCAATGTGCTTACCAAGGGCTTTTGGAAGGTCTGATGTAACCCTTTTTAAGCTGTTTTTCTATGAAACTATAGACCTCCTCTCTTTCTGGGGCAGAGAGCGGAATCATATGTCCCTTTTCAGGTTTAAATGTGTTGTTCTGGGAAGCACTCCAAGTTATGTTTAAAAAAGACCTTCCAGAAGTCATGGTACTCTGGAGGTATCAGCCTCTTAATCTCTTCCTCAGACTTAACCTCGTCGTCATCATTGTTAACCTTGTCCAAAGATCTGAGTATGGCATCAACAGGACCAGCACTTATCCTTTTCTCAGATTCATTTTAACGGATGTGACTTTGTTTACCTAAGTCATTACACCCTCAAGGGCAATGTGACAATGTGATAACCCCTGATTGCCAGTCTATCCCGGGATTGTGTTTAAATAGCCAGGTCCAGCCTAAGATTAAGTTGATCTTCCCTAGTTGGGTAGCCTCGGCAGTGACTCATTCTCTGTGTCCTTGATACTCCATCACACAAGAATATTTGTGTGTAATGCAGCCACCCACATTTAGTGTACTGTCAATGCTATAGACAGGAATAGATACCTTTAATTTTACAAGGGGGAGTCTATTTTGTTCTGCCCAGACCTGATCAAAGAAGATGCTGTTGGCACCTGAATTAAGCAGCATACTTGTTGGGTGTACTGTGTGCCTTGGGCAAGGTCTTCCACACCAACATTTAAACACATTGCTTTTTGGAATACATTGTGCGCATCAACACACACCTTGGGATTCTGGTGGAAAGTGGCACCAAAAAAGAACAAGTATCAAACAAAAATATGTTTTTCTATTTTAGTATTTTCCATATTTTTGTTTTTATTTTACCAGAGTCAAGCACCCAAGTATCTGTCTCGCCGGGGTCACACTCCTGGGGAGATGCTGGTGCAGCGGTAGTATCATAAATATTACAATCACATTGTTGAATACAACTGCATACTTCTGATAACAAATTCAAAAATCTATTTACAAAATGAGGGGCCACCCCCTTTCCTTTCTTTCTCATGCAACACCCTGGAGCAGGGCCATATTGTTGAGGTTTACTTCATTATTTCAAGGAGCAAAGGCACCCAAGTGATAAGCTCCAAACTTTTTTCCCTGAGCCTTCATCTCAGCAACTTGTAGAAGGATGCCTAGATTTTGTTGTACAAATCACCAGCTAGAGTGTGGAGCTAATTGTCCAGTTGTTCTGTTTCTGATTGGTGTGCCTGATGCCCTTTGTTTTGGTTCTGGGCAGCCTGCACCCTGTTTCTGCAATCTCAGGACATGTGTCTTTTCTTGGCCGCAATTGTAGCAGTTCCCTTTCAATCTGTGCATCTATCCTCCTTGTACTGCATCAATATCCATAGTGACCCCTTCCTTGGTTGCAGCCCAAACAGCTTGAACCCATGAGAATGATTTTGTTGGTTTGATGACCCAGGGCACCTCTTGTTTTTGGTGGTGGACCTGCCACTAAATTACATAGTGTAGAGCTCCACAGCCCTACCAATATTGCGGACCTCCTCTGCCGCCATTGCAAGATTCTCATTTCTCATATCTTGCAGATAAAGCTGCTGTGCAATGGCTGTTGACACATTGCACTCCAACAACTCCACTGCATGTTTATTTCCAAGACACCCTTGGATGGAGAGGGCCAGGAACCAGGTTACTTAATCATCTGTCCTCATGTTTCCTTGCTTGAAGGAATGGATTTGCTGACATGCCCAGTTACACTCAGCTTGGGATTTGAAATATTTTTCAATCTCCCCCTTGAGATTATCCCAGGTAGGCCAGTGACCAGCAGTAGAGCACTCCTGTAACAACCAAGAGTTAGTTACTCTGGCGCACAACTCAGACAAGCAAGAAAAGTAATGAAAGGGAGTGGTTACCCCTTAAGATGCAACCAAGTTAGTTGTGGGTAAACAACAGGAGGACTTGCTGAGGAGTCTCCTGGATCTATTGAGGTTTATATACTACTACAGTGTGTTTATACTTATGTACTGTACAGTTGATGAAAGCAGTGGCTGATAATGTCAGAGGGCGCAGCCCGTGTGACCAGCTCCACTGTGTGAGAGATTTGTAGCTGAAATAAGAAGAAAGGCAGCGCAGTGCGAGAAGGTGGAGTTTGAACAAAATGGAAAGTGCCGCATGGCACAGTGTGTGAAAACTACAGTAGAAAGTAAAAGAGCAGAATGAAAATTAAAGGTCCAAAAATTGTGTATCATAACACTACCCCCCTCCTAAGGCTCGACTTCCAGGCTCGACCAAGTACCGGAGGTAGTAGTTAAATTTTCAGGTATAGGTTGAAAAAGGGAATTAAAAAGTGTTGAATCCATGCCTCTAAGCTTCCTAGGAGCTGAGGGATTCTTAGAATAAAATTCTCAAATAGCATCACGGGAATTGTCCAGATGGGCTTCTGGTTCCCATGTTCTGTCCTCATCTCCATAGCCCTTCCATAGGACTAGGAACTCTAACTTTCCACGCTTCAAGCGTGCATCTACCACTCATTCAACTTCAAACTCTTCTTCACCTTCCTGGGTGACTACAACCGGTCCGGGCCGGTCCACGCGCTGTCCCAGCAGTGGCCCTTTGTAGGGTTTTACACGGCTAATATTGACCGTGGGTACTACCATCTTTCATTTTGGGAGTTCCAGCTCCACTGCATTGGGTTTGACTTCCTTAATCCGGTAAGGACCAATCCACTTTTTGGTCAGTTTTCTAGACTGCCGATCTTTTAATTTCAACTGGTCGGTATCTAACCAGACTAGGTTACCGACCTTGTAGTCAGGGGCCTTAGAGTGTCTACTCTCTGCCCTGTCTTTCATCTGCTCTGCAGTTTTGAATAGCACCTTGCGCATTTTGTCTAAGACGGACATGTCTTTAGCCATGTTCTCAGCAGCCTCATTCTTGCTTTTTCCAGGTTCTACACCCATTCTGGGAAGGTACAATCTTGTAACCTCGAATGGTGCTTTTCCTGTAGCCGATGATTGTTTAATATTGTATGAGAACTGGGCTATCTTTAGCCACTTGGCCCAATCTGTCTGTCTGTTGTTAATAAATATATGGAGGTATTGCTTCAATTCCTGATTGAGCCTCTCCGTTTCTCCATGAGTCTGCGGATGGAACACCGTGGATAATTTAGGTTTGATGTCCAGCATCCAGCATAATTCTTTCGTAAATTTGCTAGCGACTTGTGGCCCTCTATCGGACATAACCGTTTCTGGCAATCCATGGATAGACCACATGAAATCTTTAAATAAATCTGCCGTACCAGCAGCTGTAATGCTTTTATTGGTGGGAATGAACACCACTTCTTTGGAGAAGCGATCTACTACCACCATTACTGAATCATACCCATTTGATTCAGGTAGATCTGTTGTGAAGTCAACCGATATGTCCTGCCAGGGACCAGCTAGTATCGGATTTGGCATAAGTTTACTGGCCGGCGGTTGATGTGAATTCTTTGCCATGGCACATCTCAGACAGGATTTTACGTATTCCTGTATGTCTTTGACCATGCCAGGCCACATGTAGTTCCTGGAGATCAACTCCATTGTTCGTTGCCACCCAGGGTGCCCAGCCACTGGAGTGTCGTGATGTCTGTCTGTTGCCTTGATCCTTGCAGACTCAGGCACATAGATTTTGTTGTTAAAGTGGAAGAGCCCGTCTTCCCATAAATAGTTTTCATTGCTATCAAGGCGCGCCTTCTCTTCTGAGGAGATGTCTTTCTTGAAGACTTCTAGAAGATCGGAATCCTGCCTGATTCTAACATTGGCAACCCTTGATTGGTCTATCAAGGTAACACCTTTGTTGTCATCTTTGATGCCATTGGCATGATCCTCTCTTCTGGATAAAGTGTCCGCTTTCCCCATAGAACTTCCAGGCTTATGAATTAATTTATAATTAAACCTTGACAAGTATACCGCGTAGCGGGCCTGTCTTCGGTTCAAGTCTTGGGCTGTCATAAAATACTCCAGATTCTTATGATCAGTCCAAATTTCAAATTGGTGTCTAGCACCTTCTAAGTAGTGCCGCCAGTGTTTTAGAGCTCTAATGATGGCCAGCATCTCCTTATCATAGATTTGATAGTTGCGCTCTGTAGGCAACAAACTATACGATAAATAGGCACAAGGCCTCCAAAGATCGTCAGGGCATTTAATTGACAAAACAGCCCCAGTAGCAAAATCAGAAGAGTCGGTTTCTAGCCGGAACTCTTTGTCTAATTCTGGAAATGCTAATATGGGCGCCGTTGTAAACACCTGTTTAAGCTTATCAGAAGCTTCTTGTTCTTTGGCGTCCCAGTGCCAAATAATGACCTTTTTAGTGAGATCGTTCAACGCTCTCGTGATTTTTGCGAAGTTTTCGATAAACCTTTGGTAGAAATTGCCTAAGCCAAGGAAGGCCCTAACTCCTTTGACGCGAGTAGGTTCTGGCCACTCCAAGATAGCTTGAACTTTCTCAGGATCCATCCTAGTTCCGTTCTGGCCTATGATCATACCAAGGAAGTCTACTTCCTTCACTTTAAAATTACATTTTTCGGGTTTGACAAATAGGTGCCGTTCCTGTAAGCGTCAAAGGACTTCTTGCACGATCCTGTCATGCTCAGCCTCATCGTCCGACTTCGTAAATATTAATAAATCGTCAATGTAAATGACGACACAGTTCTCCATATCCGCAAAGATCTCGTTCATCATGCTCTGGATGGTTGCCGGTGAATTGGTCAACCCAAAGAACATAACAAGGGGTTCAAAGGATCCTTGGTGGCACGTGAACACGGCCTTCCAAGCATCTTCTTCTTTGATTTGTACATTATTGTACCTCCATCTGAAATCCATCTTTGTTAAGATCTTGGCATCAGCCAACTTGTCTACTAGCTGACTAATTAAAGGCAGCGGATACGCATTTTTAACTGTGTGCTCATTCACGTAACAATAGTCCATAATCATACACTTCTTACCATCCTTTTTAGGAATGAAGAACACCGGGGACGTCATAGGGCTTTGGAAGGTCTAATGTAACCCTTCCTAAGCTGTTCATCTATGAAACTTGAGACCTCATCTCTTTCTGGAGCAGAGAGGGGAATCATGTGTCCTTTTCTTGGTTTGAAGGTGTCTTTCAAATCTATAGCATGGTCCCAAGGCTTGGCCTCTGGGAAACACTCTGATTTGTGTTTTGAAAAGACTTTCCAGAAGTCATGGTACTCGGGAGGTACCAGCCTCTTAATCTCTTCTTCGGGTTTCACCTCATCATTGTCATTGTCGATCTTTTCTAACAATCTGAGCTCATAAACTTGACCAGCGTTTCTCTTTTCAATACGCTCATTTTGACGGACATGATTTGGTTTACCCAAATTTACACACTCCTGAGGGCAATGTGACAATGTGACAACCCCTGTCTGCCAGTCAATCTCAGGATTGTGTTTAAATAGCCAGGTCCAGCCTAAGAATAAATTAATCTTCCCTAGTTGGGTAGCTTCGGCGGTGACTCGTTCTCTGTGTCCTTGGTATTCGACCACAAAAGAACATTTATACATGATGCAGCCACCCGCGTTAAGCGTACTATCAACGTTATAGACGGGAATAGATACATCTAATTTTACAAGGGGGAGTCCGATTTGCTCCGCCCAGACCTGATCTATGAAAATTCCGTTAGCGCCTGAATCAAGCAGGGCGCTGGTTGGGTGTACTGTGCCCCGGGCAAGGTTTTCCACACCAACATCTAAACAGATTTCCTTTTGGAATAAATACGTGCGCATCAACACACGTCTTGGGATTTCATGAAAGGGTGGCTCCAATGTTGTGCCTATTTATTGCATAGTTTGTTGTCTACAGAGCGCAACTATCAAATATATGATAAGGAGATGCTGGCCATCATTAGAGCTTTAGAGCACTGGCGGCACTACTTAGAAGGTGCTAGACACCAATTTGAAAATTGGACCGATCATAAGAATCTGGAGTACTTTATGACAGCCCGAGACTTGAACAAAGACTTCCAGAAGATTGGAGTCCTGCCTGATTTGAACATTGGCAACCCTGGATTGATCTATCAGGGTGACACCTTTGTTGTCATCTTCAATGCCATTGGCGTGATCCTCTCTTCTGGATGAAGTGTCCGCGCTTTCCCCATAGAAGCTCCAGGCTTATTATTGAGTATAGATTGGTATAATTGCATTTAGAGTAAATTATACTATTGTTGGACAGTAGGTGCAATTGGTCCGGGGAGAAGTTGAATAACTCACCAGTTGTTGAGCTTGAGACCGTCAGAACTTGACCAGTAGATAGAACTTTTAGTTTTCTAGCTGTCTATGTAGAAGAATAAGCAAAAATTTGAGACGTTAGGGCAGCGGAACAAAACCAAAACAAAGACACACCTTTTGCAATGATTCTGCAACTTTTGGTCATACTGAGTCACAACGGCACTCACAAGCAAAACCAAGCGGAGCTTGTCGGCAAGGACTCGGCCAAAATGAAGAAATTTTCTCTAAGTCCTGAGGCTGCTTGTATGTGAGTTGTTTTGAGTTTTAGGGCATCAGTGGAAATAATACAAGCCAGGAAAATATATAAATTAGCTACTAAACATTCTATTATTACTATGTATGAAAGTATTTGGTATATAATATGACAAATTTTGAGAATTTTGAGATATACTCGAGCTTGATGATGGAAAAGGAGAAAATGGAATACTACCAGGTGGGAATGGAGGGTAACTCATGTGGGGATGTGGTAGATACATATTGGGTTGATATAGCATTGGAATGGACCTAGGGGGGGCATGGTGCTGTGAATTTGGCACCTCAGATGGTGAGCCGGCAGGCATGGACATGTTGCTTCCAGATGGGAGCAAAAAGGATGTAGGGGCTGGACGAGGGGCGGCGACCTAGGATATATTAGAAAGAGGCTGTGAAAAGATAATAAAACATCACCTGTCTTTGAGCTTGAGCTCCAAATAAACCCGCAAAGCGGGGATTTGTTGTAAGATCTGGATGGGCTTTGAAATGGTCCTTGATCAAATCAAGGACCTCTTGCTTTTTGCCGTCAATGCTCAGGCTGAATGCTGCCCAATGATCCTGCAAAGACCTTGATGCCGTTGAGCCTAGTGCTTGGCCGTCTTTGCTGCTTTCAAAGCCTTGGCCTCCTGTTCTTTCCTTGCCTTCTCTTGCAGTTCTTATTCTTCTGCAGCGTGCCTCTCATGCAACTCGGCACTTGTCAGGAGCTCAGCGTGAACTTGAGGCCCCTTTTTCATCTTCCCCTTGCTCCTTATATTATTCAGCTTGTCCTTCAAGTCCGACAACTCACGCATCATGAAAGTGTTATGGCCCTGCATTATATCCCGCTCCCACCTCTTGGCTGCAGGTGGATCAACATTGCAGCGGGGGTGATTGAGCGTGAGTTTGCAGGAGAGGGTGATGGAGTGGGGATCTGGCTGCTGAGAGACTGGGACTGGGACTGTGTTTGTTGCAACATGGAGGGCTTGGCACTTATGTCCTCTAGGGGTAGAGCGCCCTGGCTTACTTGAACCCAGGCCCTTACGCCTCTAAACGGCTGGCCGATGCTGTTGTTGTTGCTGCTGTTGTTGTTGTTGTTGCTGCTGTTGTTGTTGTTGTTGCTGCTGTTGTTGTTGTTGTTGCTGCTGCTGTTGTTGTTGTTGCTGCTGCTGTTGCCACCGCCGTTGTCAAGTTCCACCTCCCTATCTGAAAGACTGGTTTCAGACCCATCAGGATCCCCTGTTTCCTCAGAGCTAGCACTGTCTGAGTTATGCTCAGAACGGTCAATGTGGCCAACAATAGTTGGCTCACATAGTATTGCTCTGTTGTCATCATCAGAAACATAATCGGGGTCATCTGATGATGGGCCATCAATCCAACCATCAGGGAAGTTGTCCGGGTACAAAGCAGGGGCATGGTTTACGGTCGATGTTGAGATGCTTGGCGCATAGTCAGCGGCTGTGAAGATATTCAGATTGAGGGGGTAGAAGCCACATTTGCGCCAGGCCTGCATAATTGTGTTAGTGACAAAAGCACTCTTACGAGCCTCCCAGTACTCTTTCACAACATGTCGCCGAGCGATGGATATCCCATATTTGGCTGTGTACAGTTCTGCATGCCGATACCAGGCTTTCTGCAGAGGACCGGAAACGCCAACATCAAGAGGCTGTAAGTGGTGAGTAGTGTGCAGAGGGAGGCAGAGAAGATGAATTTGATTCTCGATAGCGAGATCAATCATGGTAGTTGTCAGGTGCAATCCATGACCATTGTAGATGAGAAGAGTAGGCTTGCCGAACTTGTTGTGAGCACAAGATTGAGGAATAAATGATTTTCTAAACCACTCTGTGCATAAAAAGTTGTTAGTCCATCCGTTAATTGACCTAGTTAAACTGTAAAATATTAGTAAACAGATACAATGAAAAAATGGAAACATACAAAATATCAGGGTGAACTTCATACAACTCTGCATCAATGACCGTCCCTGAAAAATAAAGCCAGGGAGTACTTTTGCGCCAACAGCAGAGACACACTCTATTACTGTAACCAACTCCAGACTACCCCCATGAATTGTGTAATTTTGACGGTCAAACGAGAGAAAAAGAAATGGGGGCCATTAGAATTTTGACCGCCTCCAAGTTGAATCCCCTTCTCATCTATATTGTAGATGTTCTCCCAAGGTATGTTGTGTTCCTTAATCACTGCCTCAAACTGCTTGGAAAAGTCCTGGACAACAGGTTGGTTGAAAGCTTGAGCTCACATGGGATCAATGGTTGATGGCCTTTGTGATGCAATTTGTTTCTCATGTTTCCTGATGAAGCATCAGACCCACTTTTCAGAGGGATACTTGTTGCACATGTCGAAAACATAGGGGGCAATGGTTTTTTTGCAGAGGGGACGACCTGTATTACCTAGAAACTGAATCCATTCCAATAAAACCTCCTCCTGCGCCTGATTTAAGTGCTGCTGTTGGATGTGAGCCTCACGACATGGTACAACCTTTCCCTTATACCTCCTGAGTGCAGTGTAATAGTGCTTGATGATTCCCAGATCACAACACGCTGCCTTGAGGTTCCTGGCTGCACCAATGCTGGTAGCCTCACCTCACATGCTGCCTGTATTTGCTTTTTGAGGTCCACTACGTTGCTGGTGGGGGGCTGGGACGTCAAAGTGTGGCGACGGTGCCTTCTGGTTTGTATGGGGGGCATAAGTTAAGAGATATTAAGGGAGTTAGGAGAGTAAAACCATCGATATTGATGGGCTCTTTGCGCTTACCAGTGTGATCTTCATCTATCAACAAGTGTGCAGTTTGTGCTGAAGCGGAGCTGGCGGGCCTTGATTTATTATCTTGGTGTGTGATTGCCTGTTTTGGTCACCTAGTCACAATTTCATCATTGTTCTCATTTCTCCAGATGCCTCGAGGCCCCAATCAGCTTGGTAAGTACCTGGCATTGTAGGCACTTACCTATTGACGCTTCCCAGGACAAAACCGCAATATTCCCAGCACGATATGTGGTCAAATCTGGGCATCTTTCCCTCAAAATTCACACCTTTGGAGATCAAGAGCTTAGTGTCAGTTCTATTGTTGTCACTACAGGTAAGCTTTTCATTAAATTCTTTCACAATTATATTCTCTATACTCTATTCTACATCTGACAATTTTCTAGCTACCTGTACAGCAATTGTTGAGCCTGTGGAGGCCCAAGTGCATCTCTTTTACCGGTTGCATCCGGTGTCCAACAATAGTAGCAAACTATAGTGAAAAAGTGCAAGGTCATTTTTTGTTTTAATGACTGTGCTATAAACCACTTTTGATGATATAGCAATACTCTAAACTGTATAAATATCAATAAATATGATCTTTATTGATATTTATACAGTTTAGAGTAAGGGACTGTGCACATATGTATATAACAGATATTTTTGCTATTATAGCATATATTTGCAATTTATTGCATTTATATCTAAGTCATGTTTTCCTGATGTCTCCATTTCACAAACAGCCCTTATTGAAAATATTACCTCACAGTTCAATCTTGAAGAAATTCACCCCGTCTCAATACCAATGGAACCAGGCCAATACCTTTCCCAAATGGCATACTCCCAAAAACAATGGGGAACAAACCCAAATGGCCTCTATACTGTATCACTCATTAGTTGGTTCACTGATGTATCTTTCTATGGGAACTTGTCTAGACACAACTTTTGCTGTGCAATAACGACTCAGCCGGTTTTTAGACTCTCATAGACCAGTACATTTGAAAGCAGTGAAAAGAATAGTATGTTACTTTAAAAGTTCCAAAACACTAAAACTACATTTAGGAGGGTCAAATACTATACACTTTATGGATATACTGACACCACATTGGTCTGTCACCTCCACATGCAAATCCAAATATGCAAGTATGCTAAGGAATTCATATGGCTTTAAGCACTTTTCTCTGCAATCAAACACGTACAGCCAAATCACACACCACTTTTATGCAATAACGATGAAGCAATCATACTTTGTGAGGACCCATCTTTTTATGCCAGTTCTAAACACATAGACATATATTTTTATTTCATTTGCAAACAAGTACTCAAAAAGGATTTATGTGTTCAATATATAAACACAAACATAATATTGCTGACACTTTCACTAAAGCTCTGCCTTCAAGAACTTCCATATCTCT